TCATCGAAATGAATGAACAAGTCGGGGAGAGCTTGCTTTTTTGCCTATGGGCTTGAATTGCAACTTTTTTTCCGCGGAATTAGCACCGGTTGGCACTTTGCCATGCTAGGCAGCAAAAATATCCATACTTCTAAAACCTTGGTAAAACTGAAATTTTTTTACGGCCAGTCCGTTCTTTTAGATTGAAAAAATCAACCAGGAAATCATGGATCTGGTAAAGGAGCGCGATCAAAAAGACGAGGGTACTGATAAGCTATCGATCTATCGCCATCAAGCATCAGCTGTTAGCAGGAAGAAGGCAACTTTAGTGGAAAAACTACAGGAAGCTCGGTTGCTTTTTTGTTAGAATAAAGAAGTGCCTGGTTCTGTGGACAGAAATGTTATAATTCTGCGGTAAATAAGAGCGTGTCTAGGGAGATCCGGCGTTTTACGCTGTTTTGTCTAGCAGACGTTTGCTGACTGTAACACTCATTCGCTTTACAATTTGATACGTGCAGGAAACCAGACAAAATATTATTTAGTTCCTGGCTGGAAGTTATACGTGTCCGTAGATGAAACATAAATTTGTGTAGAAGCTAGATTTAAATTACTGGGCTTTCACGTGGACAAAAAAAAAAAACATCTTCGTAAGATTTCAACTATCTTCCTGTTCATGAGATAGCAAAATTTTCCGCCAATGTCCACACATGAGAACCAGACGTACGCAAACACTGAGAGTGTATTTTTGGTAGCAAATGAAAAATTTTTTGTTGAATACAAAACTTACTGCGTTTTTTTAAATAAAATTCTTGAAAAATTTTACGTATTTCAGCGCTGAACTGCAAAATCTTGAAAGTGCGATCGAGGCAAAGAAAAATGAGTTTCAGGAAAAAGCTGGCACTGACTTTGTCATCACATCTGTACAGGTTTATTGTTCTCTCGTTGTCTGTTAAAAATGAAAATATTCCGTGTCAGGAGGTGCCAGCCACGAAGACGAAAAAGAACCGATTCCAATTTCGAGATGACGGGGTAGTAGGAAATAGTGGATATGAGTTGGGGAAAATGACTAAAGGCAAAGAGGCTAAGCCGTTACTGCATCGAGAATACTCGTACATTTCACAAAACTTACATCATGGGATCATCAGCACGGCTTTCAACCTCATAGCTGTGGAAATTTTTGAGCAATAATGTAACGTTTGCCCTGCAGAAATATTAATACTGTTGTTTTCAGTTCAAAAATTATGTCAACAAGTTGCGCAACAAAACTTATAGTTATAAGCGTAAACGAGCGGAAATTGATGATTTGAAAAGTGAAGAATCGATTTTGGCACGAACCGTTGATATTCTATCCAATCAGTGGAAAACAATGAAACAAAAAATCGTGAGTAATTTTTGTTATTTCTTCTCGACATTTGAATCATGTGTTGCTCAAATCATATGTTGCTTCACTGTCTGTTCTTTCTCATTATTGATATAGTTGGCAAATTCTCCATTTGCTCTAAATTTTGGGCTTCTCTCATCCACATAATTCCATAACAAGTATTCGCGTGGTTCTATCTGTCACACTGGCAGATTTTTTGTTAAGGAGCAGGTACCGTTACACAGCATGCTTTGTCCATCTGTTGTCTATCATTCTTGCCAGCACGACCAGCCTGAAGGCTTAATAAGCTTTTTCCACTGCTGCTTTGAAATTATGTTTGAAAAAAATACTGATATTTCACTGCTCATGTACTTTTTTCCAGGAAGAAAGTGGTGGCAAAATTATTGAAACCACTGGAACAAGTGATCGACCGGAAAGAGTCAAAACAGCAAAACCGAAGACAGACGATGTGCGAGAATTGCGTGACATGATCAACGAGTTGAATCAAAAATTGGACTCGAAAAGGACCACAATCAATGAGCTGAATCAGACAAACAATGAGCTAAACGAACAGCTTGCTGTAGGTTTTCCTA